GACTCAAATGAAGGCTCTTGGACTGAAAAAGCTTCCAGGTTGGAGTTATATTCAGCAACAAGGCGAAATAACCTCATTTTTTAATGGTCAGAGTGATCATCCTCTCAATGAAGAAATGTTCTGGGTCCTGGAAATTTTGGGCTATCAAATGGATGAACTGAGGTTCAACCTGAGTAACAGTGGTCTGAATGACAATATTTATGAAACTAGTGTTTTATTTGGGTGAACAAGGTCCTATAACCATCACATATTTACTGAGCAAACTTTTGATAATTGATTTGGGGAAAAAAGTGTGATTATTCAGCAATTTACAGCTTGAAGAATCATCCTCCAGCTGCTATCAGGCCTGCATACCAAAGCCAAGGTTATAAGGGTGGAGGCCCTCTAATGGGAACTGAAATTCTGGGCTAATTTTCTATCGAAGTACACTGATTGAACATATGGATGGTTACCTTATGCATATATTCAGGGGAGATTTTATTGTGTAAGTGATTCTTTGATCAGTAATCTCTACAAATATAATATGGCGTGTATCTTTGTTCTACAATTCCATTCACATTACATGTTGACGTATGGATGGTTTATGCACATATGCAGGTGTGATCGTATTGTTTCTGAAACCAATTTCTGGACCAGTAATTGGTAAACATGAGCTGGTATGGTAATGGTATGCGTCTATGTTCCAAAAAAAAATATTCACTTTGACTGATTCTGGTGGCTGGAAATGAGTATGATGAGTTATTAAACTCTTCCTTTCTACAGTGATGCAGACCATAGCTCTAGGCGTATGCTGGAGTGGCGTGAGTAAATGGGAGAAAACAATTATGAAATGCTCTTCCTGTGATGTAAGTATCCGTCTATCCCAAAAATTTGTGATGAACATTGTATTCAAGTAATATTCTTTGTCTATTAGTTGATATAGCATCAAAAGTCTCTGGTGACTAATCTGACTTGGCTCAAATTTCCCGAGCTTGTGCCAACATTTCCAGGTGCGGCCATACCCGGCATTGTCCATTTGTAGTTAGAAACTTAGAACCAAACATGAAACATCAGGGAAAAAAAAATTTATTTTTATTTAAAAAGACAGATTATAAAAGTTTGGCATAAGATTAGGCTTTTTGTTAGCATACATTTGACTAGGTAATTTCCCATAAATCCAAATTTGATGCCCAAAACTAAACAAAAAAAAACCGCATTAATTCTATAACAAATCCAAAGAGCAACTTTTTGGTGATTAAAATCTGAAATTTACCAGTATCATCATTAGAAGAAGAAGCAGCATTATAATTGGTTGAAAAATGGTACATCAAAAGAGAGGAAATGGGATATTCAACCCAAGAGTGGTGAAAATGGCACCTGGAATTCTTGGGATGTGTGTCGTTGGTTACATTGTGGGTCCCCCACTTTATTGGCATGGCCTTGCCGCCTTTACTCACTCTTCCTCTTCTTGCCCTCCTTGCCTTTGTGATTGTTCTTCCTCTTACCCTTTTCTATCTCTTCCTCAAGGTAATTTTTTTTTTTTTTAAACGGATTCCTCGAGGTAATTTAATCATTCATATAACCCAAATTGATTGGTTTGCATTGCATTAGTTTCTACTAATTATGATCGATTAGGAGTTAGGATGTGTAGGTAAATCCGTGTCTTAGATTGTGTCGGTGTTGCCCTTGTAGCTCATTCAAACAAAAAATAATTGTCTAGAATAGGATCTACATTAGGTGTTTTTTTTTTTTTTTTGAAGGGACATCAGGTGTTTTAAATAAACATTAAATTCCGTAATATTTTTAGTTAATTATCTTGGCCTCCATTAATTACTCTAGTAATTAACATGTTGTAATCTTGATGATCATGAATATTGCATTGTTATGGATTTAATTTCAATCACTATCATAGCTTTCTATATAAATTTTTATTTTCCACACAATTTGTCTCTCGGTGCCAACAGGCTTCTTGGAATGGCACTCCTGTGTATGAAAGAGATTGTCCAAAAACCCATACAATATAAGTCACAATGTTAATAAATGGAATATTTTTATTTTTTGTATATGAGTAGTAAATTTTTTCATTTATTCTTTTGTATTTAAATTTTAAATGATAATATAATTATATACAATTTGCTCATGTTAGATCTGTTTTAGTACATGGGATTCTCCTAGTTTTTACCTTAAATGATATGGTTATCATCTTGGGCTGATGTGTACTTGATAGATTCTGGATCCTTTGTATTTCAATGGCATTAATTCTTTTCTATTATTTTTAAAGCACACTTTTATTCAATTATTCATGTACTGCTCACATGAATAATTGGAGTATTAGTTAAGCCACCATTTTACCTAAAATTTGCTCTAAATTATACTACATTATTACACTAATAGTCTAATAGGAGTATTAGTTAAGCTTAATAACACATTTCTCGAGAAAACTGATTTATCTATGAATCACTTGTAACTCGCGACTCTCTAACCAGATTCATCTGTTTGCTTTTGTTACAGGACTGAACAGATCATTTACAGGTTAGGGTTTTAAAAGATTTCGAAATTCATGATATACTTCAAGCTAAGGGGTGAATTAATATGATGATATGCTGATATTCTTCTTGATGTTTTTACTCTTTCAGATTGTATGAAGCATGATCCTGAGGTTAGTGAAGAAATGGAGAAGCACTTTGCAGATCTTGTGGCAGACGAGCTGAGACAAAAAGAGGCCGAAGCCTCAGAAAACCAGCGAAGATCTGATATGGGGTTGCTAGAAGCTAAGAAGTTCGCGTCTCAGTATCAGAAAGAGGCAGATAAGTGCAACTCAGGCATGGAAACTTGCGAGGAGGCAAGAGAAAGAGCTGAGGAAGCCTTAGAAGCACAGAGAAAAATAACCGCGATGTGGGAGCAAAGAGCACGCCAAAAAGGATGGAATGAAACCGTTGCAAGAAGAGCTCGCGAAAAGAAATGATTAGCTCTTCAAGTTTGTAAGTCCTTGATTGTTTTCCTAGCTGATAATCCAGAGCACAGTTTTGATATTGGACAAACATTTAGGCTTTAGCTAATTTTACTAAAAATTTTTTACAGTAATTCTTAAAAATAATTCTAGTACAGAGTACATAGGAAACATTGATGGGATTTGTATGCTGGAAAATGAGCTGGTTAAGTAGAAATCTTATTATCATCCAGCTAAGAAATTGCCGCTTAGTCATTTTTCAATTGGTTGCATATAGAGAATGGGGCAAGTTATTAAACATATTCACTTATAATTACAGAGCCCACATACAATGCCATAACAGGACTTTCGTAAGTACATAATTATCAAGGACACACTCTACCACTGAGCTAATTACCCGTCGTTCAATCTGAAAACTCGGGGTTAGGACTTGAAATGTGCGGATTGAGTAATGCAGTAAAAACAAATCAATTCACAAAACTTGGCTCCTTTACAGCCAGTAACTTTCATGTTCTTGCCTTCATGATCTATCACGTCGATCTGATAGGAACATATCATCCTTTTCACGGAAGTAAATCTTTACCTAGATTAAATCACCAATCTACAGTATTTTCTATCTTTTTCATGAACTTGTATTAGAACTTGTACTTTTAAGTTTTAACACATGACTTCTTCAACTGCAAAAGACAAAGTTGAATGTCATGTGAAAAAGAAAGAAGGAATATAAATGCATAACAAATCCTTTATCAGTTAAACCAACGACTAACCAGTTATATAATTGGTGAAATGTGCATAGTATTGAGGCATATTGGTTGAAAAGAGGAAAGACCAAAATAACAACAATAAATTTTGACATACAATTCATAATCAATTTTGCTCAATTTGTGGGTGTTTTTGCTCTGTTCTTGGCAGGCATATTGTCAGAAGTTCTGATAGCAAACCAACCTCTAATTGTTGGAGTCGGTCACTAAATTTCAACTTTTTTTAAATACGAAAACTCTAGAAATTCTCTTGCAAACTTTGCATTGTCAATTACTCCACAACCCCAAATTAGCAGCCAAGGAAGTAAAAGGTTTAGTACAAAGGAGTAATAGACATGAAGAGGTAAGTGAAAAGGAATAATAGATATGAAGATGACAATGCGATGAGAAACTACTTTAATACTTCGTAGCTTAAGGCTCTGTTCATCAATAGCGTTTGAAGTAACAACTAGCGTTTTGAGTTTTGACCAAGTCAAAATAATACTAAAAAAAGTAAAGTTTTTGGCAAGTTAGTGAGTGATTTGGGTAACGTTAATGGTACGCTGTATTTAAGTAGTTTTTCTCAAATATTAAAAATGTTTAATAAAGTGAAAACTTAGGGGTACATGGTGAAAAAAGTCATTTAATTTAATCTTACCATAACATAAAGTGATATATAAAAAGGGTTTAAGTCTGCTACTCGTATTTCTGTAAATCTAATCCTTGATAGATAATAGTCAAATGATTTTTTACTTTTATTGCTGTCTCATAGATTTGTATGTACAAACTATTAATTAGGTATTCGAATATTATTGCATAAATTAGACAGATCTTCATCACAATAACAACTTCATTAGACTAGTCTTGACACTTTGACCCTCTGAAAAAAAGTCATGAGACAGCGAGACAATAAAGAACATGTAAAAAGAATTAAAAATGACAAGTAAAAAAAACGTAGTAGTTTTGTAGACTTCCTTGGGGTAAGATGTTAAATGACAAAACACAAAAGTATTGAATGCACCCTTTTACAAGTAAAAGACGTTTACTTCCCCTGAAATGTGACATAGAGCACAAATTTAATAATGTACCACTAGATTGATTTTTATCAATAAAATAAAAAAAATGAAAAATGCTTCATAATAATTTAACGTACCATTAGATGAATATCAATTGGACTGCCACCATATATATATATATATATATATATATATATATATATATATATATATATATATATATATATATATATATATATATATATATATATATATATATATATATATATATATAACTAACATACCAAACTCTTTAAATTCATCTAGGAATATAATTTTCAGAGAGAAAATGAAAAGTTGGAGAGTAAAAGTACTACATCTTATTATTGTGATACTTAGTTTATGTGCTACAAAAAATGAAGCTTATAATCAGCTAGATTACAACTATTATGAAACTACATGTCCGTTTTTAGAAGACATTGTTAGAAAAGAGATGCTAAGCATCATTGCAACTGATGTTTCTTCTCCTGCTGCCTTTCTTCGCCTTTTGTTTCATGACTGCCAGGTTCAGGTAATTATATACCACCTTCTATATAGTTTATATGTTAGTTTTTTCGTACTTGCAATTGTGATGCCAATTAAATTTATAATCGTGAATATGTGATATACTTAAAATGCATATGACGGAAATGTTTAGGAATTTTGAGGACTTATAGAGGCCATTATAGAAATTTAGGTTAGTTGTGAATCTTATACGTACTACTAGCTCAATATCTTATTGGTTCGTTGATGATTTCATTAGATATCTAATTGCATAAATGACTTTAGTTGATCGATTTCTTATAGATTATCACCCCATGGCACAATTTTTCTTACTAGTACAATGCTATCCATCAACATAAGTTTCCGTTCGATAATTTGCATTCTTCACTTCTTCATATTATTATTAATGTTGTTTATAATTTCAACGTTCGTACTCATAGTTAAAGTTGTCATTGTTTGTGATATATTCAAATAACCTACGTAGTGTTTTCCGTTTGGGAAACAAGGGGACTTTAATTGTCTATTTTGGGAGTAATAGGTGATATATCTAGAATTTATTGCAGTTATTATGATATATGCAAGCTTATAAGTTATAAGCGAAGATCAACTTAGTTAAATTATTTGGGGTGTTCAATATTCAAAACGTAAAAGCAAATCTTGTTTACGTCATTGTCTTTAATTTGTAAATATCTCTACACCAAAATAACAAGTTAAAGTTACATAAAAGTGGGTGCATAATTTTTCTTGGGATTGTATACATTATTTTCAATTCCTTCTTCTACGCCCTTAGCTTCTTTTCTCTTTTTAAAAGTTCATATATAGAGAACCTTATATTTTTGTTCGTATCTCATCATGCAGTAAATATTATGCCACACACAATAGTACGTACTCCATAGTTAAGACTTAAGACTACATAATGTTCCCTAGTGACCACGTGACAATTAATTCCGGAGGAAGCCAAGGGAATATATAATTCCCAATTTTCTCTTCCACTGAACTTAACCTTATCATTGTCACAATGTTCTTCTTGCTATCGTCATATTATTGTCCCTTGAAAAAAGGGTTTCCTTTTAGAATTAAATTGCCAACTAACAACTGAAAAATTTACAGTACCAAGTACTCCATAGAATTAATAATGAATGCAATGAGCTATGGGCTTATGGCAACTTCGCAAGTACTAGTTGATCAAAATTAATGGAGTTAGAGTGACGTGTAACTTATGGTTTTATTTACAAATTCAAGAGAAACTTTTATGGGTTAATAACTAGAGTACTTTGCGATCCACGTAATTGTCCAAGTAGTGTACTAGCCTACTAGGTATATCACTCTAGCTACACACTCAATTAAGTTACTTCGTTCTTTCGATTTGTTAGTTTACTCACATTCTACTTCTACATTTTTCACATTCTACTTCTACATTTTTCACATTCTTTTACGGGACTATCTATGATCGTTATATGCTAAAAGAAATATAATCACATTCAAAAATTAGTACGGAGTAAAATTTTACTTTTGCATAATTTGCTGAATAGAAAATATTAACTATTAACAATGTGCACAAGTAGGCATAGAACTATAGAAGTCAAGCTATATAAACTAATAAAATAGAGGGAGTGCAAATGAGTGACGTGTATTTTTTAGATGATTGGCTTGTCACGAGAAATAGTTATAAATACAAGCACTGGAGGCTTGGAGCTTATACTATATGAGATAAGTCATCCATCATAGGATTCATAGCAATTTAGACTTTTTCAATTTGAGGGGGATGAAGGGTATGGAAGTAATAATAATATTACCTCCATAATTTATTTTATTTTTGGCCTGCCATTGGCTGAAATAGACATTACATGCATGATATTAAACATCATATCTACACTTAGGTAGACCTAAAATTTTCATTTATTATGAAAAGGCTATGTCTCTCTAGCTATGGAGTAGCAAACAAAATTAATTTTACAGGTTGACTTTACATAGACATTTCATCATATTCTATTTCTACTCCACTTGATGGCAACTCAAATAACGTTTCATTTCATATATTATACTTCATCCGTTCTATTAATATTGCAATAAGGATGAAATTAAGCATTTCAAAGCATATTTTATATACTAAATATCTATAATTGTGTAAGAGTAAAAATTATAAAAAAATTGATATTGTGAAAGTATTTTATGAGACAAATCCAACAAGATTCCACATGACTATTTTTGCTTAACATATAGATCATATTATATGGTCAAACAAGAGTGATGAATAGTGCAAAAAGTCCATTGTTGCAACATTAATAGAACGGAGGAAGTATATCATTAATGAATCAATGTTAATATATTTAAAATTAATAATATTAACACAATGATTAACACCTTGTGAATTCTAGTGCATAACCTTAAAATAATAACTTCCTTTAGGAGCTTAGATAAATGTCTTTTAAGGTCATCTTAAAACAATTTAAGTATATGTTAGTAATGGCTTATTGCATTTAGTGTAATAAGACTCGAATAAACAAAATGATACCTTTTTCGTTCTTTATAATTGCATCATCTTAACTTTTACACATTTTTAATCCCTTCTTGACCATCTTCTATGATTTATATATGTAAAGAATATGATTAATTTTTGTATGTTTTTCATTACAAGATAACTAAATATATTAATAATAATATAAATTGTGTATTGAAAATAGATGTAATTATAGAGGAACTAATGAATTATAAGGACTTTATGGTCAAATTAATATAAAATGATGAGAGCGAGAAATAGAGTATGGAGTAGTTGGACTCGGTAAAATTATTGACATTTACTCAATTATCTAGCCAAAATGTCACCCTAAGAAAAATACAATATTTTTAATATTGATTTATCATATCCCTACCTTATAAAAAGTTTAAGAAAACTCTTATAAATAGTGCATGGACATTTATATCCCTAAAAATGTTCTTTTACATATTTGCCCCAATTTGATTTCAAAAACCTTATAATTGTCTCTTGAATTCCCTAAATTGATTTAAAATTTATGTTTATTTCAATTTTTATTTTTATTTTGAAAGATGTGTATTTCAATATTTAAATCCATCTTTTTTTTTTTTTAATGTTCCTATTTAGAATTTATTAGACATTTATATTTCTACATCGAACTCAATATCTTTTAACCGTTTAATCACTAAATCAAAGTAGCTCAACTAAAGTTTAAAACATTGCACCACTACACAACATCCAACACATTTATCGTCTATATGCAAATAGTTTTAATATAATATTACACAAACAAGCATAGGGCATAAAGAACATCGGTAATAGTTCTTCTCGAGGGGCTAGCTATACCGCGCGCGTTGGAACCCCTAGTAATCATAACAATCTAATTGATTGTAGATTCAAATGTAACTTATCCTTAATTAAACTTAAGGATTAAAACCAAATAGAATAATTTACCACCTAAATATGACTACTCGATTCAGACCAATGACCACTTTTAATATAACTAGAATAACTTAATTTACGAATGAAATTTTTAATGTAGTCTTATGACTTTTGATTACCACAATTTTTTAAAATGGATGGTTGAGATTGTTTGTTTTTTTATTTATTTTTAATTAGTAATTTTAATTAAAAATATTTTTTTTTTAATTATTTTATATATTTTTTTTTATTTGCAGAATTTTTAAATTATTTTTAATTAAAATTACTAATTAAAGATAAATCAAAAAACAAATAATCTCTACCATCCATTTTAATAAATTATGGTAATCAAAAGTCATAAAACTATATTAGAATCATCTATTTTCGAAGTATGTATGTATAATAGAGTAATGTTTAGTAAGAAATTAAAGTAACATTGAAAGTGGGTGAAAAATGATATATGGTCATTAATTTATTGTTGATTGTTGACTGTTGACAAAAGGTCCTGCTTCTGCTTTAGGGTATTAGAAGGTCAATATATTCAGAAGCGTATTTGTAATTTGTGGTCCGAAAATGACAAATTAAAAGCTCTGATTTCTGATTGTTTTACGTCCATACATTCATGTACATAATTTCATAACTCATCATGTGCTTTCGGTGAATTATTAATAATAATTAGTTGACCAAATATAAAATATGACATTCGCCATTTATTTACGGAAGTTAAATGAATGATTTCCTTTCCTTTTAAGTTTTAGCCTCATTTTTGATAAATTGCTTTATGTTGTTATATTATCATGCTATTTGCATGCCATATTTAACACCCGCCACTTTAATTCATTTATTACCTTAGCTTTCACGTACAATCAATCATGATTGATGAAGATCTAACGGTGTGATCTATCGTCTTTTTTGATCGAATAGTAGTCCACCAAATTTAGTTCTAGCCATAGTATATCACTGTTATTCTTGTGGGTCATTCAGTAATATTTTTACGTTAACATTTGATTTTCGCTCTTGTCAATAAATAAATATACTTCCTCCGTTCTTTTTTTATTGCACTATAGTGGATGGGCATACATTTTGTTGGTAGTGGCCTAAGAAAAGGAAAAGAGGGAGGGGTAAAAATACAAAATTATACATGTGATGTAAACATAAACTAAAGAATAAAGTGTTAAAAGTGAGGGTATATTGGATACGTATTTGCAATTTAAACAGAGAAATCTTGTTTCCTAAATTGGATACGGTGCAATATTTGTGAAAATTTCTTTAAAGGCAAGTGGTACAATGATTAAAAAACAGAGGAAGTATAATTTTAACCGTCATATACATGTTAGATGTAAACACGTATTTACATAAATCTACACATGTGTTTCTTATGTATAAACCATCAATAATAGGCAAAATAAAAGAATACGTGCATACTGCAAAAAGTGGTCGTTGCAAATAAAAATATGGAGAAAGTATAATATTTTTGAAGGATGAAACATGAAATTCTACAAACTATTCAATTATACAATTTCCATTATTATTTTCTTCTCATTTGCGTTAAGGGGCTTGCTAATTTGTTCAATCTGATGATTGTAATGAGCTATGATTAATTTTATTTCCGATGTGCTCATTTAGTTAATTATGGATTTTTAGTTTGGATGATCAACCCAATTTTTTAGGACTAATAATTGAATAATCTTAAATTCCGTTTAGGGATGTGATGCATCAATTCTACTGAATTCAAAAGACTCGGAAATGAAATGTTCCAAGAACTTCGGGATCAGAAAATTTGAAGCGATTGGTAAACTAAAATTCGTCTTGGAAGCCGCATGTCCAAGGCAAGTATCTTGTGCAGATATAATTGCTCTAGCAGCAAGGGACTCGGTCGCGCTATCGGGTGGACCTTCAATACAAATTCCACTTGGACGAAAGGACTCTAGGACTTGTAGCACCAAACAAGCTGATGTTCATCTTCCTTCGACCAGCATCGACGTCGATCAATTACTCCAGATTTTCATGAGCAAAGGAATGAATCTACGAGAGTCTGTGGCAATTCTAGGTAATATATTCTTATTAACCTTACAAAATAATATGCTAATTAAATATACATACAGCAAAACCATTGTATATATTTTTTGTATAACTCTCTTTAATACATAACGCATGCAAAAACGTAACAAAATAAATATCAACGTTATTCTCACAATAAACAACACATTTATTTATACATAAAATATGCATAATTAAAAGTCTAGGGAATTATGAGCAAAATTAGATTTGTAAGTTTTCATGTGATACACTCTATAGTAGTATATTCCAAATTACAGCCTTACAATATATAACATGAAATAAATTGCCCTTTAAACTACTAGTACCAAATAGAGGTGCATTCATATAATTATCGTACAATGGATTATAATTGGTTCCAAATGTTTTAATTGCTACCACAAATGTGAAAATCAAACAACCAAGTGTCACCAAAGTTATGATAATTGTGATGTAAAAAAAAAATAACATTAATTATTTGTATGTGGATGTCAGTTACCATAGTTGATATGTATAAGTGGTATTGGTATCCAATATCGGATACTAAAGTCCGTCAATATTTTTTATTGTGTGTTGTGAACTAAAATCTTGTATAGTGAAATGAGAGACTTGAACCACAAAAGATAAATAATATTGACGAAATTATCTTATGTCTTGAATATTAGATCATCCTCTAAGAACATAACGTAACCAAGCTACGAGTAGTTGGCATCCAATAGGAAGAGGTGTTGATTGTTGTAATGGTTTTAATTTTGCATTATCGTATATATTAATGTATGTTATGCCGTCATAAAAAATTTTTGTTTCATTTTTGTAGGTGGACATACACTAGGAGGAGGGCATTGCATAAACATTGTGGACAGACTATACAAGCCAAATCCAAGAGATGAAATGGATCCCAATTTTCAACTAGCATTAAAACTTGGTTGCCCTACTAAAATTCCTATGACAAACTTTACAGTAATACCAAATGATATAACACCAACAATATTTGATAACCAATATTATAGGGATATTATTATGGGCAAAGGCTTGTTTAGCATCGACTCCACCATTTCAAGGGATCCTCGCACCATGAATATTGTCAATCAATTTGCTGATGATCAAGAGTTGTTTTTCCAAGCTTTTTCTTCTGCTTTTGTTAAGCTTTCTTCAGCTAATGTTCTTACTGGGAACATGGGTGAAGTTAGGTTACAATGTGATCAAGTAAATCGATGACATTATTATTAATAATCTTCGTATTTTAAATCTTTCTATGTCTCTTATATGTTTATAATTATGTTTATATTATATATGTATATGAGTTTCATATGAATTAGAATCGTCTTTATAGTATTTGGCCCTTTTTTTACCACTTACTATAATGCTGTTTATTTCTTTTATATCTTCTTGTGCTTTGTTTACTTCGCGCTCGATTACTCGGAAGACCCGGTATAAAATCTAGTCAACAAAACTGTTATATGTGGCTCTCTATAAACCCAAAAAATACAGTATCAAAATTGACATTTAATTCACCAAGATCAAAATATTAAGAAGATGAAATATCAATGCCAGCATTTAATTCTAATGGCATTTGAGGAATCATTCTCAAAAATAAGCAACTCGGAAGTTTCATGTAAAAATGCCTAAATAATTTTGTACATTCAAAGTAAGATACATCTATTTATGTTTATATATATCAAAATTAAATCAATAAGAAAACAATAATCTACAACCTAATCATACTAGTTCTCCCAATAGTTGGGTCACTATATAAAACTTCTCTACATAATCGTATTGAGTATAATCAGGCATCATACTGCCCACAGCCTGCCACCAAGAGTCCAAGATCGTGTATTGTTGGAGTTTAGGTTAGACATATTACACTGAAGATCTACAAATTTTGCATAGGGATGATCACAGTACCCTAACGAGCAACAGAATACTATTGTAACCATCTTTCACTCAAAAGCCGCATAGCAGCCCCCTGCGAGAATTTCCTTGCAAATAGAAAGCAAGGAGCAGCTGTAGAATTAGTTCTGCACCACTCTGTTCTGAACTCAGTCTCATAATATACATGGTTGATATCCTGTCAAATACAAAAAGTAGCAGCTTACACAAGGGGCTTATAATTCATAAGCAAAGAAAAAAAAAATCGCAGGGGAACATCAGTACTCTCTCTGTCCCAGCTCAAATTTGAAATTTGCCCAAAAAGAACTAAAGCTTAGGGCAATCACCCAATCATCAATGTATAAGATATTAACCTTGGGCTAGGACAGAGGGAGTAGTTTCACTTGAGTATAGAAAATAATACAAACCTTAATTTCTTGAATACGTTGGGCAGTTGCAGCTGAATGACTGAAGGTGACAGGATGCCAACCTTTCCCTTCCATTTTCGAGGCAAATTCATTCCATAGAGTATAGGTCAATGTCCGACGTTCAAGTTCTTTATCAAGCCCCGTCATCTATTAAGAATCAACCAATTTTAGCATGCATTTTGTCATATACGCAAAGCAGAAAAAATAGATAAAACAAACATTAATGACAGCAGAAGATGCTGGAATGTCACAGACTAGTTGGCAGGGATAAAACTCTTGCCAATAATAAGATAGGAGATGTACTTACAGTAAGCAATGTCTGCAGATAATGCTCATCTGGAATGCAATTGTGCTGCTTCTGAAGTTTCTGCATTGAACAAAATAATAGTACAGAATAAGATGATAGATCAACCAAACCAATCAATTTATGGGTGTTCGATGGGGAAAGAAAAAAGACCAACTGTATATTCACTCAATATAAAGTGGTCAACAGTCCAGTCGTCCAGGTGTGGTTTATATGGTTTTTACAAGCTGACTCTAGAAAATCTTTGCAATCTGAAATGCCCCAAGGGTTCTACCATAACGTTTGACAAGGGATATTAAGCTGACACTAGGGATTGAATAAGTACGAGTTACCAGCAATTGCTACTTCAAATCAACAAGCAATATGACCTAAACACAATGCAATGTGCAGAAGGGCTATACTAAAGAACTAGTTATTTGGGCTGCAAATAGAATTAAGTTAGAGACAGCATCCACCTTCCATGTCCAAATTGGCCCTCGGAAATGGATTCAAATGACCATACCACAATTAAATCATTCTATAACATCCAACTATTACTTTTGCATTTATCACATATTCACTTAAACTATCCTTGGTACTTTTTACTTGAGGCATAACATAATTGTATGGGATACTGTTACATTTGTCTTAATATAGATTATCAAAATATTAACTTTTCATAGTTCTTACTTATTGATAGTTAACAATATTAATGGTAGAAGTCATTCATTGCCAAGTGTGAAAGCCAAAACAATACATCCTTAAAAAGGGGGAAGGTTGAATTTAAGGTAGCACCTTGCAAAAATGACCAAAAATAATCAACAAGAAAGGATCAACCATCAAAATGATTCAAAAGAATCCACTTCTCAAAATCACAATAGTAACACTGCTTTGCTCATTAGAAGCACCAGGTACTGGTGAGTGCAAGAAATTAGCTATAATTTTGATGATATTTCCTCAACTACTCCCAAAAAGGGTCAGACAATCAACAGCACATAACAAAATCAGATAGCTAGGGAAGTTCTATACAGCAAAGAATTCCCCAAACTCCAGATACCAAAATGTATACATCTTGGAGTACAACAGAAATGTATTCTTAGTATTATACTTGTCCAAGATAGTCGGCAGATCATCAATCAATAAAGAATATTCTATTTTTGTTAACAACCATGAAATGAGATGAGGTGCCATTCCATTATGAGGTTTTGGATACTTTTTCATCTTGAGATAAAAAGGTATTCATTTGTTCCAACGAATGAATAATTCTAAACAATCAAACATTAATTGGTGTTGCATAACAAACACAATACCAATGCAATATAATATAGAAACCCATGTTATATATTGATGTTACTATAAGAAATGAATTTGGGAATAATCAACAGCATCAATGAAGATGAAGGGCTACCGACGCCTTTATAGGACACCCGGGATGCCATGTTGAAATATCTCTTGTAGCTCTTCACTACCAACTCAACATAATTCCACAACGGCTAGCTATATCAAACAAACTCATTCTGAGGACTTTATATGCATATTGGTAAACTTGTTGTGGTTCCAAACCAATTGATATGACCCCAGAAGACATCCCGCACATTTCACTTCAATTTTGAAAAAAATAAAATAAAATAAAAATTAGCCGAAAAAACGTGGATTATAGCCTTCAGTTTCGGACAATTTTCGACTTTTCTAGAGCCGGAAAATAAACAAGTCGAGGTTCTTCCCATGGACCCCACAACACCTTGGGAGTCCATTTAGGTGGTTGAATCAGTCTTCTTTGCCTTTAAACTGACAATCTAGTCATTTACAACTTATGCCTCCGTTCAATAACCAAGCCACGACGATCCACGGGACTTTATATGACCAAATAATTGTCATATGTAGTTCCAAACAATATTATGTAACCTCGAGATTCATTCCCTACAATCCCAAAAGATTCGATAACAGGTTCCGAAGCCTTCGAAATAGGTTCGATTCTGTATATTATATCCTTCGATTTTGGACATACTTGTTTGAACCCAAAAAAAAAAAAAAAGGGAGGTTGGGTGCTTTCCATGGAGCTCACAACACCTCTTAAGCGGTTGGAACCATCCACTTTGTACACGCCTCCCTTGATTAACTAAGGCCACCACGAGCTTTTATGTGACCAACTAATGGTCCTATATGGTTGCAAACAACATTACATGATTTTAGAATACATCCCTTACCGTACCATGAGTTTTCGACATCTAGTCCCAAAACCTCCAAAATTGGTCCAAAAGCGTGCATTAACCTTCAAGTTTGGACATTTTTTTTACTTTTTACAGACTTGGAAAGGAAAAAGTCAAGATGCTTTTCATGGACCCTATAACACCTTCGGAGGCCATTTGGGACCATGAAACAACCCTTTATGCCTTTAAATTACCAATTCAACTATGTATACGACTCATTGCCGCCATGGGGATTATGTGACTGACTAATGGCCGTATATAACCAAACAACATTATATGACCCTAGGAATCCTGAAATGCTTCCCTTATAATCCTAACGTTATTTTATGACAACGGGTTCAAAAACCTTGGAAATTGGTTTGATTTTATGTATTATAGCCTTCAAATTTGGCTTCAAGATTACTTTTTTTACCCGAATGGGTTATGCATCCAAGATATTCCTAGGGGTCCAAAAGGACACTTGCAGGTCGGATGCATCTCATTCATGCCTTGGCCCCCTTACATTATCAAGTCTTGTGATGCTTTGTCTTGGCCTTTTGATGCCTTGGCTTGGCCTTGCGTTGCCTTGCCTTCCTAGGCCTTGCATTGCATTGTATTGACATTAAGGCAAGCCAAGACGCTAACCTCGAGTGCCAAAAATGGCATTTTTATGCCTTGTCCTATTGCACATGCCTACAACACATGGGCGTACCTTAGCTGATCACCGTCCAACGTTCCACACTTCGGTATTGGGCCTTTGCCCTTCCTCATACTTAGCATTTTTTGGCACCAAAATGGCACTGCTACCCTCATTTAGCAAAACATAGGTGTTTTTGGGTATACGGTTGGGGGGAGGGGGAGGGGTAGAAAGCTGCCAGCCTACCATGCTTCAGGAGAGTTAATACCAAGCTAAGCACCAAATCCTACCATGGCTTTCTGATTGCAGATTGCATACAACTACTATCTTCATATTATAGGATGACCTTATCTAGTTGTTCTGGGTTGCAGTCACAGGAAAAGGGTCTCTCCATTCTACATGCCAAGATCTATCATTGAAGCCTGTGTACTTTATATCTGGTAGGGTTGTAGGCTCTTTTCATTCATTAATTGAACCTACCTTCACTCCTCAACAAACTAGTTATGGCTGATGCATCATGCATCAGACTTTACTCTGTTAAAATGTTAATATATACTCATAAAAATCAACACATCTCAATTACACAACATAAGCAACATATGCCCAGTAAAGATTACCCAAAACAAGGAAACCTTCCACAATATATCCCCATACATAAAGGGCATTCATGTAGTTATTTAAAATACATCCTAGTTCCTGCATCATCTCATTGAATACAACAAAGCCCACAACCCTTCAGTGAAATTGGCATAGGTCCTCAAGGTCATTTTAACAAAATTTTTAAATGAATAACGCCTAAAGTTCTAAGATTTAAAACACCCAGAAAAGTTCTGAAACGGGAAAAATCAATTTATCGTAAGAAACTAACCAGATTCAGCTTTCCCTTTGAATCATCAACTGGTGGGCGTCGCTGCAAAACAACAACGACAAAGCATTAGTCCCAAAATGATTTGCGAAAAATATTTAAAAATTCAAATATACTTTTTTTATTTACAAAGAAACGACAGCGATCTTATGTGAATGTTAAGAAAAACCAAAAGTAATGCAGAATGATAGAGAGGAAAGGAGATGGAAAAGTACCAAGATTACTAAAAGACAATACAAGGAAAATAGAGAGTGCATAAGCTATTAAAACATCTACAATTAGCATATTGTGTACCTTACAGTATTTTCTGAAGACAGGAAAGATAAGCTCATCATCAACTACAACTTCAGCATGTTTCCGGATCAGAGTGAACCACTGAAATTTCCAAGTATAATAAGCTACAATATAACTTAAATTTCAAGTAAAATGATCATCATGACCAGCTATCCAGAAAATATCCACTGTAAGGCTTTCTAAAGAGGCCCAGCTGCCCAAGATGGCAACCTTCGACATAACACGATAACATAGTCCCAACATGACATGAAACTGTACAGAAAGAAACACAATTTGAATTACATGAATAACCTATATTCAAAATTCTTTGATCAACTTTCAAATCAAGGCAATTGTCTAAAATCACAATAAAGACATATCCAAGCACAAAATGTTTTCTTTACCCAAATTACCACTTCACTATGTAGGCATAACCCCAATTATTATGTCATGCACATAGGACCACAATGAGCATCATGATCCCGAACATTGTTATTAAAATCCCGATTTGAATCTTAGAATCTTACGATTTTACGATTCATGTATGTTATACGATTCGATTTACGATTCTACCCGATTTTACATATTTCTCTTAACTAACGAAATCCTTACAAGTATAAAACATGCCTACATAGTTATTTATAAATATATATTGTCAATTATTTGTTGCTTAATGGGTAAACAACTATTTCCTATTAATAATTACGTTTCAAACTCATAATTTAAATATATTTAATTAAATTTAGATATGACCTCTTGATTATGCATGTTGGTAGAATCTTACGATTCTACGATTCGATTTTACGATATGATTCTGAGAGCCCTTTCCGATTCAAAGTATAATCCTGATTTTAATAACTTTGATCCCGAATGAAAAATAGTTCTAAAATAATGACACATAGTTCAAAGAATATGAGCTTATTTGCTATGTTCGTAAATTTTGAGCTACTTATACTGTTTGGTGTTGAAATATTTAAAGAGCTAATATCTGAAATATATGAGCTAAATGTTCATATATATTATTTGAATTTTCATAATCTATAACTAGCTGTTCATATCTGTTCATTTGGGGCCACAATATGCATTGCATTGAGGTCCCAAGGTCAAGATGTAATCTTATCCAATGGTTGCTTTGATAATAGACATCTCTACAGCCCAACTCAAGCAGATCAAATTCTCCTGAATATCTATTAGAAATTAGCAAAGGCAGTCAAGGGGAAGCCTCCTACGTCACTAGTTGTCTACGATATTCCGTGACTGCTTAGGACCATTATAGTCCAATAATGATACATGTCATGCAACAACCAAATTGGCCAACACCATTGAACCCCTTTTTCTGGCAAACAGAATGTCTTCATATAATTTTGGCCATGATGCATAATCTGGAATCCCTAAACAAGAAGTCAACTACCAAAATGAGTAGATGACATCACATAGAACCCAAATTTACAATCAATAAGACCCATATAAAGTTTAAAATTATAACATACACCATAGAGAGTCTTTAATTGTTTGTAAGACAAATGGCTAAAAGAGGCTCCAAAGCTCACTTGATGTCCTTCGTGGCTAATCAATGGAGATAGACATACCCATTTTAAAGGTTAGCTCGTGCTAATTAGATGTTATAATGTTATTAGTGCTAACGTACCATAAGGCATGTGGAAGATCCTTACAAAAATACATTAGTACAACAAGTTATGGATTACAAAGTAATAGAACGTGGTTTACAAAGGGAACCTTATTTATTCGGAAAAACCTTGGGCAAAGAATTTTTATGAAACCAACTAAATCATTGCTCATCCCCATAAGAATAAGCCCCAAAGTCCCAAATGCTACACAGACGTACTTCGCATATGACCCACCCCCCCCCCCCCAAAAAAAAAAAAAAAAAAAAAAATCATTGAAAGCTACTCTAAGTCCAAATTATATGACTAGTGCTCTTAGTCTTCTATTAGCTAGTCACTATCATTCAATACCCTACCAAAGATCGTAATGCAAACACATAGTAGTCAGTCTGCTCAGTCAAATAAAAAGGCATGACTATATTACCTGTGACCCTTTCCGCCATTTATCCAACTTTATAACAGGTGCCATCTTCGGGTTAAAGCGTCCTCCCTCTTTACCTTCCTTTTTATCCAAAAAGCTAACACAAAAAGAAAAGTAAGTATGTCAGTTCAAGAGCTCAGAATGATCTTTTCCACAGCAAATATCTTAAGAAATTAAGCAAGATCAATCAAAAAAAAGTACTACTCCAAAACTGACAGGAATAAAATTAGAGAATTCTAATAAGATCATCAGGTTCAAAGATTTTAAAATTACCTGTCTACAAAACTTTTAGGAGATTTCATAACATAATGGTATATGTAGCTAAAATTATACAGAGGAACGCAGCTGCAACAAGAGAAATCAGCATATAAGCAAACCAATCAAACTAGATATGAACTCTAGCGATGTATCCTGAAAAAGTATGTACTAAAAAATATTTAACTGAAAAGAAGTTGACTTGATCCTATACTGCATTAGTTATTAAAGATGCCGCATCAATGTATGATACACATAAGCAGCATAGTTACCTATCTGAAAGAAGTACAAATCTCTGATTAGCAGGGTCCTCAAGTGCTGCATTAAGCAATAACCTCTCTGCTTCAATCATACTCGATTCGCCCCATGCTACCTAACACCTCACTGCTTCATTAAACCAAACACACCAATTTCACCAACATATGATCTAAGAAGAGCATTATCCAAACCACAAACCTGAATGCTATTGCTTAACTGCCGACCATAAAACATAGGCGATCGGGTGGTTGATTCGTCAAACACAAAACCTGGCTCTGAGTGAATGTATATCGAATAACTTGTTGCATCAGCTTCCTGGATATACCCCATTAACAAATACATTAGCAAAATCCCACTCCCGAAATTATGCAATCCAAAAGCAAAGTTTTCGGATATGTTTTGTTTTTGGCATTAGTCACAAAATCAAGTTCATGTGCATGCATAATAGCTGTCTAATACATAGTCAAATGATTGAAATTAGATCTCCTCTACTTTGAGCAAAAGATAAACCACTATATATCTCTAAGCAACTTGTAGATAACGAGTATAGACTTTGAGTAAAGCAAAAAAATTTGAGGTATAAATTACTTTAAAGGAAGCAAGTAATTCATCACAAACATCCTTTTTTTTTTTTCTTTTTTTTGCATCATACAATTGATTTTATAATCAGAACAACTAGGCTAAATTTGATAAAATCAAACACTATAATTTAAGCATCAGAAATAACATCATTACATTGAACAATTCTACATCATTTCACTAAAGCTGAAAAAATTATATAGCGTTACTTCCTAATTCCTATGCAACTTATATCAGGAATTATATAGCTTATAAATCAAATTAAAATAAATTTAGATACAACATACAAGCCAAAAACTTCCAATAATTAATTCATAGCAACTGTAATTAGAAACAAAAAAAATTAACTCTTCCAAAACAATCGGAAACACTCTACATTAAATTAATCAACACAATTTACAAAATTAACCAAATTATTGGACCAATCATATTAATAAATGCAAAATTTAACAAAGAAAAAGAAAATTAAAAGGAAAAACCTCGAAGAAGCTACCCCAGAGAAAATCCAGAGGAAGATGCCGGCGAGTGAGGAACAAGAACGCGAATTTAGGAGGACCGACGAAGAGCGTGGGATCCACGCGCCGTGATAATTGCGCAGTTCTCGCAGGAGATATTAATTGAGATTGAAATTTCCAGAATCCAAAGATGCAAAGTAAAATCGATATTAAAATCACGACCTTCAAATTCTGTCGAAAATGGCTAAACCTAAGCTTCTTTGCTGTCGTCATCGTTATCTTCTTCTTCGTTGGGAGAAGAATTCCTCCTCTTCCTGCCATAATTTTTTGTTTATTTCAACAAATTAATTACACTAATTACAAAATAATCAATCAACTTAATTATTTAATTACAAAGTAAGATGATTATAGAAATGAAGAAGATGAGGAGAGAGCAAATGAAAGGAGAGAGAAGATTACATTGAAGTGGAGGTTCATCAATGGAGGTAAAAGGAAGTGCATGTGAGTCAGTTTCTCTCTCTTCTGGTTACTACGTGCTGTGTTGTGGAAGGATGAATAATACAGTAAGAGAGGAAGAAAGAAGAAGGAGAGAGAGAGTTTGAATAATTTTAATTAATTGAATTTGAATAATATTATGGTTTGATTAATGTTTTAATTAAGGGTAAAGACTAAAGAGTACTTTTTTGGCATTTGGAGTTTGGACAATAGACATGCACCTGAGAGTGGAACCTTGCCTTTATGGGTAGGTTAGGATGAATTATTTTTACTACTTCTCTCCTTGCTTCAAAGTACCCTAATTTTGATCAAGATGCAATTCCCACTCAGAAAACTTCATACATCCTTTCAGAGATTGTCATTCTTCCATTATCCTCTAGAAGATGATTCTAGTCAAGTTAAAACCACCTCAAAATTTTGATTATTCGACTTTCAATCTCATAAATGGAGATGCATCTTTCTTATGGGAATGTGGCAAATTTGGAAACTTAATTTGTTCATTTTGGACTATCAAATCAATACAATTTGTTTTTACAGGGTAAGGAGAAAGTGGGAGAACTAGGAGCTTCATCTTCAACAACTTCTTCTGGTTGGAACTTGGAAGCCACCAAGGCCTGGATTTCTAAAACTAAACAGTAAACACGGATTGAGCTTGGAAAGTGCTACTGATATAGACAGGTTGTTGTTGAATAGGGAAATTATCGTCATTTTCAATCATATCCCCAGGGAATGCAATCATTAGGCCCATTATTTGGGACAGTATGCTATGGACATGCACCTTGGGCACAAGCCTCATTATGTCATCCCTACCAGTGCTGTTGTTGCTTTTGAAGCTGATATCTCTACAATTGGAACCTCTTCTGTTTCTTAGTCTTAGTTTGCAAGACTTTCTGCTAGTTGGATGTATCCATTTCCTACTTTTACTTATAAACTCTAGTATTACTAGCTAGGACTACTTAGTTCATGTTTCTATTTTGGGTGACTATGAAACTTTGAACTATAGGTTCTAATTTATTTTAGGGCCTCGCCCTAGCTATATATATTTTCTCCTGTTGCGTCAAAAAAAAAGTCACCAACCTTGCAAATATAGTTTGATTGAGTAATAATAACTACAGCAGAGTCGTTGTGGTTAGTTAATTTTAAACGTAACTATGATTTATCTCGAAATTATTCTATGTTTTGGATGTATGTGTAATTACAAGCTTAAAATTTATGTTTTTACTTATTGATCTTATGTTATTAGTAGAGTTAATAGGTTTAATTCCGAGCTTATAGTTTTAATTTTAAATTGATGATAGGTTTTAAGCAAGTTTTACATAATATTATTGAATTTATAATTTGAAATCATGGAGTTATTTAAAATGTTATTTTATTTAAAGGTCTATTTCAATTGGAAGGAAGAACCTTTAACCTCCAAGTTTGGGAATTGGGAACCACGTACATTAGTCAATTAAATTTAATCAAGAGTTTATAACATTATATTGGAGTAGTAGTAAAAAGACAAATAAAATAAAAGCCTCATTTCAATTTAGAGTTTAATCGATTCAATCAAACTCTAATATTACTCTATCAACTCTAGATCAAATTAATTTAAGGTAGCTAAATCAAAAGGTGACTATGTCGGGAGTTCAAATTTGAGCCATGTAAAATCATTGTGCTCATATAAGTTGAAATCTGGGTTAAGTTTCTTTTGAATTAAGTCGAGTTAGGTTAGCTTTTGACACATCTAACTAAACTCTTTATTTGTTTGTACGTACCCGCGCAACATAATGATCAATCAAAGGGGATAAGGTTATCAATTTCAAAACAATGCTGACCCAATAAAATAGCCACATTTGTTCATGAAGTTGTCCAAGTACAAGGAATTTAGACATCCAAAAGAGAGAATAAAGGCATCAAAGATTGTGTGAATGCTTGTATATATAAGGTTGTCAATGACAATGTTTAGTAAAACGGTGCCGTCCCACGTGGAGATCACTAACTAGAACAGTAAGTATGACTACATGATTACCTAATTGATTTAGTCATAAAGGAGTAGCATTGAATCCAGAGTGTATTAGTGTGTGTTTAACCTAATAATAATCTTAACCTTTTTTTACTTTTCTATGGACACGTTTTGAGAGTGTTACCAGAATTTCTCCTACTTTTAACTTGGAAAAGCAAAGATGTATAGTATGTGTGTGTAACAGTGTAAGTGTGGAGTGGTCCATCAGTCAAAATTAAGATTGTGAAAATAGTCCATTTCTCCGTCCGAAAATAATAGTCACGTATACAATTTTCGAATGTCCTAAAAAGATTAGTCATGTGTCATAAAATTGATTATACATCAATAAAAATGAAGAGAGGAAGAGAAATCTAAGGAAAGCAAACATGATTTTAAAAAACATTTCGATAAAATTATAGATAATCCTTAATCACAGAGGTTGAGACAAGGACAAGATGAGTACTAATTTAGGATAGAGGCATATATCTCGTTGCTAAAGCAATACACATTATAATTTTTTATACAGAAAACGTAAAAAGATAGTTATATCTGGACGAGAAAAAACCATAATCCTCATTTCAAGATCATTCATAATATATACACTTAATAATAATTATACACAAATGAATCAAAATATAATAGCTCAGCATTTGTATTGTGTTAGGACTGGAAAAGGAGAAAACTTTTGAGTAAAGAAAAAGAAAAAAAAGCCTGTCATAGATATGCTTCTAGCGCACCATTTGCAGTAAGAGAAAACATCATGCAGAATCTACTCAGAAGCAACAATCCCACTAAACAAATCTAGTAAAAAAAAAAAAGAAAATTGAAGAAATCATACTGCATTCCTGTGATATAGTGAATTAAGCTTCGGACTGGCTTCGTATTTATGAAATGTGATGCACTTCTGCTCCAACTGAGAAGGAAATTTCAACAAAGGCCGAGGAAAAGGGGTTCATCGCTGACCCACCTTGGCGTTTTCAGGAACCACAATCACATTCAAGATCTTACCAGGAACGAAGATCTTCTTTTTGATGGTTTTCCCATTGATGTACTTTGACAGCTTTTCGTCTGTGGAGGCTAATCTGAAAGCTTCATCTTCAGTACATGTTTCTTCTACTTGTATGGTTCCTCGTGTCTTTCCATTGACCTGAACGGGGAGGACTATTTTGGAGTCTTTCAAATACGCTGGATTAGCCTGAAATCAAGAACTTTCACAAGTAAGAATTTAGAAGAGCTAGTATCTGTTCACAGCTAGCTTCGTTTAATTAGGGCCGTTTATAAGTCTGAAGCACCCCCAGTTTACGCTAAGCACCTCTATAACATGGAATTTCACGAAGAATTTACTAGGAAAAGTACCTTGTACAATGAATTCTTTGGCTATAATAAGCAAATAAGGTGCGATAAACCATGCAAAATGCAAGTTGTGAAGCATAATACTTCGTAGTTGCTATGAACTTGAAAAGAATAGTAGTCCTTCCGTCTCTAAATAAAAAGATAAACATGAAGATATCAAGACTGTCCTTTCTCTGTTTAAATTTGTACATCTTCACTACACCAATATGAAAAAATTCCGAGTTCAACTAACTAGATTCCAGAATAGACTAATATTGGGACAGCCTAAAAAAACTGTGGTCTACTACTAAAGATGTTAGGAGCATTGATCATTATGTGCATCAAAGTTGCAAGTAACAATATACGGAGTATATAGTTTTGAAAACTGAAGGCAAGGGGGAAACTTGATCCTACCTTTGGGAAAGGCTCATTTGCAAGTGAATTTGAGTTTCCAAGGCGAAACCAGAGTTCCTCAGCCATATGAGGTGCATATGGTGAAAGCAGCAGAACAAATGCCTCAAAGATTGACCTTGGATGTCGGTCCCACTAATAAGAAGAAAACAATGAAGTCATGAAAAGGCAATAACAACCATAAATTTAACTCAATTAATATCATGCTTGAGATACTATTGTATAAAATTTGATCAAATTTAGGTTAGCTCAGATAAATTTGGGTTCACAGAAACAATAAGATGACTTTTACTTATCACATAAACGACATACAACCCTAAATGTAAAACTCAAAGATTTTCTGCCCAAGTTCCAAAAAGAAACAGATACATGCTCACAGGGAAGAAGAGCAAGGATGTAAACAGGTCAAACCTTGTATGCTGCATTAATGAACTCCATCATTGCCGAAATACCAGTGTTAAACCGGGTTGCTTCAATTTCCTCAGTGACCTACATGAAACCCAATAATGTCGGTGACTATTTCATATGAATAAACAAGCCTTCTGGTCATTATCATATAAGATCTAATGAAACCAGCAAACAAACGAAACTCAGCTTATAATCAGAATTCTTCTGAATTGAGAAATATAATTTTTATATGATTTTGCATGATTTTTGAATTTGAGAACATATATTCCATTTCCATCTTTTAAACATGATTCTTCTGCACACTCCCAGCAAAAGTAAACAAATATGTCTATCTCCCACTTCCACAAATTTAGAAATTCCAAATTACAACAGAGAACTTTCGACCTTTTCAATGCATTTATGAAGCGAACGAAGTTGTTCTATGGTGGGATCTTCATCAACGGCAATTGTTCCATCATTAAATGAACCATCAGATAGAGGCGAGCCCACAATTAGTCTCCATACTCTCCCCATAAATCGATAAACACCTTCGATTCCACTAGTATTCCATGGCTTTGAGTCTCTGAAATAATCAGAATGGATTTGCTAGTTAATACATAAACTTTCTATCAATCCCTTAATAAAATCCAGATTTTTGACAAATGATTAAAGAAGACTAATCAAGTCCAGTGACTAAAATCAACCTCAATGGTCCCATGAACATCTCGTACAAGCGGAGTGAGTCAGCACCATACTCAGCAACCACGTCCTCTGGATTAATGACATTACCCTTGCTTTTACTCATTTTATAAGCTCGAGCAATCGGCCGAATAGTTGGATTCTCTTTCAACACAAAAAATTCGCCTGATTTCATAACCTTAACCCAAGCAAAAAGTTTCTATCATATTCTTATTTTTGGAGAAATCAAATTACAAAAAAATTGGCAATAAAATTTTGATGAGATACTAAGTTGATTAAAGACGACTAGGTCTATGAATACAAAAATCGCATACTTTTTCCTCAGGAATTTGTTCTTGACAAAGATCACCAGACATGGTAGCTGAATTTGCAGATATAAAATTTCCATTTGTGTCCTTTAGTGCTGTATATTGGACCTGGAAATTTAGACATGAATATAATGAAACACTGGAGCAACATTATGTAATTAAGTCACTGAAGTTTCATACCTCTCCCAAGATAATTCCCTGGTTTATAACACACTTGAATGGTTCCTTTGTAGACACAACACCAATGTCATAGAGAACCTGACAAGTGAAGAGAGAAAGAGTTGCAATCAAATGACACGAGGACAGAATCAGATATGATAGTACAACCAAGAATGAAATCATTTCTTCAAGAAACTTACAACACATTCTACACCTCTCAGACATAAAAGTATTATTTAAATTATATTGGATAATATTTCAGATCAAAGTAGTATGAAAAGAACTTTATCAGCATCTAAAAGTCCAAAACAGAAGTCCCAAGGCTCTATATCTAAGAATCTCTTGAATTAAAGCATGAACTTAGCCAAAGAAAACCTTGACACCTTGTGCCAAAACCTCGCATAAAGTAAGTGAAGGACTGCATGCTCAGCACCACCAACATAGACATCAACTGGGCCCCAATACCTGCATGGTGACAACTGCCAGAAGGTAAGTCACGGAGTATTCTTCATGCAATTCAAAACAAGCATTTTTTGTATAGATTATATTTGTTAACGTATTGTAAACAACTGACCTTTCTTTTTCTTTGTTGACTAATTCCTTTGAATTTTTTGGATCCATAAATCTCAAATAATACCTGTACATAGTACAAAAGGTTATACCAAAGAATGAAGATATAACAGTAAAGTCACACTAGAATTTAAAATTTTAAATATGCTACGGAGTACAACTGAAAGTCCTTTCACTTTTCTCTCTGAATCACATAGAATGACAACCAAATAAGAAAGGAGATACAAAAAATAAGTGCCAAAAAAAAAGACATTACCAGCACGAGCCAGCCCACTGGGGCATGGTGTTTGTTTCTCTTCTGGCTGGCTTTCCTGATATTGGGTCTACTGTTTGTACCTGTTATAAATAAAAAAGAGTGAATACATATCAGGAATGTAAAAGCAGCAAAAATGGCTGAGATATATCCATTTTATGTGGAGAAAAAGCCTAAAAGCATTCCTGAAGCTACAGTCAATGCGAAAAAATATAAAAGGTCACAACCCTCACAAAGCAAAACAAAAGCTTGGCAGTACACATCGAAGAAATGGAAAATAGATTCACATAAATGTTCAAAATTATAGTCCTACACAGACTATGTTTTGCAAATCAAACAACTTATGAAAGGGAATCACAGGATAAATTATATTGTGGCAAGTGAACACATACCCAAGATGCCGCTTTGGATAATGGCGGATCACCAGTCCCAGTAGGAGTAAAATCATCCAACTCAGGAAGTGTCAAAGGTAATTCGCTTTCAGGAAGCGAAACACTCTCGCTATTGTCATCCAAAAATATTACAGGTATAGGCTCCCCCCAATATCGCTGCCTAGCAAAAAGCCAGTCCCTTAACTTGTAGTTCACCTGAAGAACAAGACCCGATAAAAAAGTTAAAGAGAAACCATAAAATTTGTCTATTTCTGCTTTCTCAGATTGCGCCAGCTTTTCCCTTATAACTACTACAAGTGACTAGGTGATCAACTTTAGTGAAAGGGACAAACCTTTTTCTTTCCATTTCTAGTTTCCTCAGCCCACTGAATTACTTTTGCAGAGGCTTCTTTGCTAGACAAGCCATTGATATCAAGCCCTGTTGCCAAACAAGATGAGTTCATGATAATACCATCGCCAGAATAGGCCTTACCTACACTGCTGCCGTCTTCATCATCTGGCTTGACAACCCAATGAATTTGAATATCATACTTCGAAGCAAATTCATGGTCACGTGTATCATGCGCAGGAACTGCCATTATAGCTCCAGTACCATAGCTGCAGCAACAACAATACATGGAAGCCAACAGCTAAGTATGCAAATTAAAGTATACATAGCAACATTGACAAAAGCACAACAAGATTCCCAACTATTGCAGTTATCACTGAAATTTAAGTGAGGCCTAGACAATATATATTATTGAAGGAAAGCTCGGCCACACCTTCCTAGAACATAATCTGCCACCCATATGGGAATGGCCACTCCATTGGCAGGGTTCTTTGCATAGCAACCAGTAAAGACTCCAGTTTTCTCCTTTTGGAGCTCAGTCCTCTCAAGGTCACTCTTTCTTGAGGCAAGCTCTTTATACTCCTCAACCTATTATAAGAGTAATACAACTCAACTTTAGATAGCAAATAGAAGTAGATATTTTATTCAGAAAGAGAATATAACAGACATACATGTTTGGTTTGGTCTGTGGATATTAGTGATTCCAACAACGGATGCTCCGGTGCCAGCACAAGATATCTGCAAATTAAAGGTAGAACAAACCAGCAGATGATGATAAATCCTAATAGTATATGTTTAGAACACTACTAAGAGAATTAACTTCCCGATACATACGTTGCTCCGAAAATAGTATCTGGCCTCGTTGTATAAACAGTAATTTCAACCCCTCTTTCTTGTCCATCAACATCAATCACTGGAAATTCCAGCTCGGCTCCTTCTGACTTCCCTATCCAATTTCTTTGCATTTCCTTTAAACTTTCAGGCCAGTCAAGCTCTTCCAGATCATGAAGAAGGCGATCTGCATACTCAGTGATCCTGAGCATCCACTGCCTCATTGGCTGCTTGTAATAAACAATGACACTGAAATTATGAAAACATTCAAAGGAAATAGAAGTAAGACAACATCAGAAGCAAACACAATGGAAACTTAGCATTCTATAATTTACTTTCCTCTATACCTTTCGAATCACTGGATGACCCCCACGTTCACTGACACCATCTACCACTTCCTCATTTGCCAACACTGTGCCAAGAGCAGGGCACCAATTGACAGGAACTTCTGCCTGTGAATCAAAGTTAACCGTTAAATTTGACTTATGGAGGGGGGCTACAAATGTTTTATATGTTGTGGTGTGACTCTGACCTGATAGGCCAATCCTCTTTTCAAAAGTTGAAGAAAAATCCATTGTGTCCATTTGTAATACCCTGGTTCTGTTGTAGAGATTTCACGATCCCAATCGTATGAGAAGCCCAGTGCTTTAAGCTAAAAGGCAGCAAGCGTAAATAAAGTAAGAATTACAAAGAGCTAAAGACAACTCATATCATCTAATATGCCTATTTTGGACTTTAAAGTTTGCAGTGCTAGGCGTCAAAACATGTAAGTCAACATTACGCGTAGCAACATTTTTTCCTTTTTCTGTGCCTATTGATAAATTTTCAGAGATAATTGAAGGATTAACAGAAAACAACACCCTGAACAGGTGTGGTTGCCAAAGTACGGACAACAAAGAAAGTAACTAACCTGTGATCGAAAACGCCCAATGTTCCTCATAGTTGTGATTTTAGGGTGGGTACCTGTCTGTCACACATTCAAGCTGATGACCATAGTTTGTGACAAAAAGGTAATGTAAACTACAATGTGATAAAATCATATCCTAGGATTTAAGATAAAATAAAAATAAAAACATACATCAATAGCATACTGCTCTGCTGGCAGCCCAAATGCATCCCATCCCATAGGATGCAGAACATTGAAACCCTGCATCCTTTTGAATCTGGCAAGAATATCAGTAGCTGTATATCCGAGTGGATGACCAACATGTAACCCAGCTCCGCTGTAAAAAGTAATATTGCTCCATGTAAAACTCAGCAGAAATTCAAGGTGGAATATCTTACATCACACAAAAAATTATACATCGAAAGACAAAAAAATGTTATCTTGGTCTAGTCCGACTTTGCAAGAGGGAGGTTCAAACAGAAGCCAGTCAGCCTGAGTAAGAAATATAGTTCACTACCTAATAATACCATTTAGATAGCTAGCCATTTATAATCTAAATTACAAGTGACATCAAATTTCTAACTAAGGAGATGGTTTACAAAGACAACTTGTCATTTCAAATGTATGAGAAATTAAGCATTTCAAACAAAGATAAAGCGAGGAATCATGACAATCCACAACTCCTTGGCTCCATATAATTGATTACTTAACTAACAATTTCCATTCCGCATTAAACCCATGTCATCATTTGTTGTTTGAAATAACAATGCACTATTACTCCCGCCCATAATTTCTACACAGTGGTAGCTTCCTAGGGCCAAAGCATTGCCCATACAGCCAATTGAGCTTCAAGGATGGTACCATAAGGTGAAATGCACATTTAAAAAACTTTCAATCACTACCTTAATGAACAATATTACCATCTAAAACCAACTACAACTATTGCACCAAGAAATATCATCAGTATCAATCATTCTAATTTCTTTCCATATTATCCTAAAAGTGAAAAACAATTGTCATAATGTAGCCTCACACCCTTGTCACTTAACAATTGTCAAATGTCAAATATGAAACAATATAAACTAATTAATTCAAATTCGAAGCTCGTCCCATTTCAATTAACAGTCCAAATCACATATTTTCAACCTTCAAACAGTCAATTAAAACAGTATATATGATCATTGCATTTACCAAAGCATTTATATAGTAGCAAATTACAAAAATTCTTACAAATTTAATAAAAAGATAAAGGAAAGGGTTTTACCTGGGGTAAGGAAACATGTCAAGAACATAATACTTAGGTTTAGAAGTATCAACATCATCTGGGGTTCTAAAAGTTTTATTATCCTCCCAAAATTTTTGCCATTTGGGCTCAATTTCATGAAATGGGTATGCCCTTTTAACTTGTTGCTCCTTATCTTTTTCTTTCTCCTCTAATTTAGCCAATTCAACTCCAATTTCACTAACTCTTCTTCTAATTCTACTTCTAAGCTTCAATTGAAGACTATTTTTACTACGAAAACCAAAATTAGTAGAAGAATTGGAGATGGGTTTATGAAAAAATTGATTTTGAGGTGAAAAAAATGGTGGGTATTTAAGAGAAGATGGTTTAAAGTGATGAATTTGTAAAGGCAGTTGAAGATTTGTCTCCATTTTTTTGGGTGGAAGAAGGGTGGAGTTTCAAAGTAAGAAGATAATGCAACTTCCTAACATAGTTTGGTTTTTATTGGCAGGCTTTACATTGAAAGTGTATGTTCTTTCATAAAATGGGCTTTGGGACTTTGACATGAATTTGCAAAGTTTGTAGCCCAGCAATTGTGTAGGAGCCTAGGAGGTGAAGCATTTATGAACAAAGTTGAAAATTTGACGAAAATAATCTTAAACCCCAATCAATAATCAATCATCAATCAATAATACTATATACTTTTGTTTTAGTTGTATATTAGAAATTTAGAAGCTACAATTAAAAATTGCAATACCAAATCAACATATTACATACTTTTATTATTCCTCGACTAATTTTTTATTATAACTCCGTCAGTGGGTTTTTTCACTGCCAATCCCAAGCCTGGATAAAGAAGGAGGGTTTCGGTAGGACAGTGACAGCCAGTGTAAAACTTTGTCACATCCCATGACATGAGCCAAACTGATATTTTCGTGGGGGTGTTCTCTACTCAGCGACGTGTTGCACTTCCTAGACCCATGTGTAGTGATAAGTATGCAAGGGTTGCTATGTCGTCGCCCGGAAGCAACGCGCCACATTATCCGAGTGTGGTGTCAAATGAGCAAGGGCGTGCCATTGGGGTGTTCCCTACTGAGTGACGTGCTGCACTTCCCAGACTCGGGTGCAATGATGAGTATGCAAGGGTTGCTAGGTCGTCGCCTGAAAGCGACGTGCCACATTGCCCAAGTGTGGTGTCAAATGGTTAAGGGCTTACAGTTGGGGACAGGAGGGAGCGTGGTACGAGTGCGCGTGGTATGAGGGAGCGTGGGAGAAAGGACTCTTTTGCGAATTGGTTCTTGGAATGTAGGGTCTCTTACGGGAAAATCAGCAGAAGTGGTAGAAGTAATGAAGAAAAGACACATAAACATCATGTGCCTCTAAGAGACAAGGTGGACAGGAGAAGGAGCTCGAGGCTTGGGTTTGGGGTATAAGGTATGGTACGTTAGACAAGAAATGAGCCACATGACTAGGAATGGTGGAGCTAGGAACGGAGTTGGTGTGATCCTTGATGAGAGGTTGTCGAAAGAGGTAATCGAGGTCTATCGGAAGAATGGGATAGGTTGATAAGGGTGGAGTTGCTATGTGGCAAGGAGATTGTGAATGTTATTAGTGCTTATGCTCCCCAAGTTGGTTTGGATGCAGAAGAGAAACGACAATTTTGGGAGGATTTAGACGAGGTGGTACAGGGTGTCCACCACAGAGCGAAATTATATATTGGGGGTGATTTAAATGGGCATGTTGACGAGAGCCGAGAGGATTTGGATAAGGATATGTATCGGGATGTGTTAACAAATGTGAGAATATGTGGAGGGTTGACAAAAGATTTCCCAATTACAATTGGATTGCATCAAGGTTTGCATTAAGCCCTTTTCTTTTTGCAACGATTCTAGATGAAGTAACTAGACCAATTCAAGATGAAGTTCCATGGTGTATGTTGTTTGCGGATGATATCGTTTTGGTGGATGAAAGTAAAGATGGGGTTAATGCCAAGTTGGAGCAATGGAGGCAAAGGTTGGAATCTAGAGGGCTTAAGTTAAGTCGGAGTAAAGACTGAATATTTGGCATGTCGCTTTGGTACTTAGAGGGGTACAAGCGATGAAGTGGTAAGTTTGGATGGAAAGGAATTGACCATGAGTGAATGTTTTAAGTATCTTGGATCAATCATCCAGAAAAATGGTGACAATGATCAAGAGTGGCCCAAGGATTAAGTCGGGGTGGCTTAAATGGAGAGCGACCACAGGAGTGTTATGTGACCGAAGCATTCCCTTATAGTTGAAGGGAAAATTTTACAGGAATGCCATAAGACCAGTGTTGTTCAATGGTACAGAATGTTGGGCTTGTAAGATGGAGCACATTATGAAGATGGAGGTTACAGAAATGTGCATGTTAAGGTGGATGCGCGGGAACACTCTAAGAGATAGGATCATAAATGAGGTTATTCGCAAGAAAGTAGGTGTGGCAGACATTGCAGACAAAATAAGGGAGAATCATCTGCATTGGTTTGGGCATGTAAGATGGAGACTCGAGCGTGCACCAGTTTGAAGAGTGGAAGAGTGAGACCATGGAGGGGTTAAACGAGGGAGAGGGAGGCCGAAAATGACTTGGTTGGAAGGAGTTAGGAAGGATATGAAGTTTATAGATTTGCATGAGGATGAAGCATTGGATCGTAAGGGATAGAAGGGGAAGATTTTTGTGGATGACAACACGGATTAATCAAATTTGGTTCATTAACCGACCCAAATTATGGGATTAAGGCTTTGATTGATTGACTAATTTTTTATTATAATTCTTCTCAATCAAATAATCTATAATTATATATAACTATGGAACATCGTGGATGTCACGGGATCTAACCTATTTATTATACGAAAGTAATATACAAGTAGATTATAAACTATCGAATGAGAAGTTTAGTATAATGTGATCAATTTCGAGGAACAAATTTGACATAGTTTACAATTATAAAGTGTATTAAATTGGGAACTTTATTAGTAGTAGCATGATGGTCACCTGAACTTTAAAAAACATGATCTATACGAAAGTGTTGATATAATATGGAGTACTTGGATGTCTTAGGTGTTGTTTGGTTGGAGGTAAAAGACATGGGAAATTCCATTTTCTAGGAAGGGAGGTTGCAATTCCCATGGAACATGGGAATTTACTTATCAAGCCCTCTCTTGGTAAGTCATATTTCTCATGATTATTGTGGAGCCTACTTGCATTATTAGCACTAATAATTTAGTACCTTTCCTTCTCTCTCCAAATTAGTTAACTTTAATAAAAAAAATAATCAAAATAACTAATAAAACATAGGAAATCAATTCCTAGAAAATTTAAGCTCCTGTGTTATCAACAAAACAAGCTTAGGACAATTCATAGGAAATAAACAAGGGAAATTATTTCCCATGAAATATGATTTTCTAAGGGAACTCATTTCCTATGACAACCAAAAAATACCTTAATGATAATATGGTGATATATTACAAAGTTAGCTGAAAGATGTTTTTCAACATTTTTATAATTACTAATATTTCTAGTAATCCGTATTTGAAATTAGGGCTGAGCAAAATTATTCAAAAAATCGAAAATTCCAAAACCCGAACTGAAAATTAGGGTACCCGTTCCGATAACTATAACGGTTTGGGTACCTGATCTGATAATTTGTTATCGGGTACGGTTGTTGGGTATCATTTTAAAATTAACGGTTACCCGATCCGATCCGATAAGCAATTTTTTTTTTTTTTTTTTTTTCCTACCTAAATCTAATTATTCAAAATCTAATTAGACCCAAACAATTAGACATGGTAAAATATGACTTATAAAGACGTAAGTAGCATATGAATATTTTAAAGGTATAACCTGTTCACAAAGTTTTATATGTAGTTGGTCACTAGATTACTGGTTTGATTGAGATTATTTGATAAGAAGTTACTCAGTCGGTCAGAAATTATCTATTTATTATTTTAAGGTATATTAGCCAACCACACACAAAATACGCTGTAACCTCTTAATTATATTGAAACAAATGTAAAGTAACAAAGCAAAGGGAGTAAAATTTTGTTAAATGAATCCAGTTGCTGCCCACTACACATTCTTTATTTGGATGGTTACCGAAATCCCCGTGATTTTTATACGTAGAAGTCGGTGAGATTCCTCTATTGAAATATATGGTTGCTTGATCTTATCAAATTAAAGTTTAGGCTTTGGATGCTTGTCGCTCAATATTAGTGTGATGCAAAAAGACTAAAAAGCACGGTTGATGTGACATACACTAGTCATATTTATGGGAATATTCATTACTTGACAAAGGGTAATCTTGTCTTTTCACTATAAAAACCTAAAGTTATCATTGTTTTTGGGTATAAATAGGTTGAGATACATTATTTTCTTGAGAGTGATGAAAGAGATGGAAGGTGGCTCTAGATTTATGGGAAAGCAATTGAGAAGCATAGGATTTGGGTGGTTTTTCTTGAGAGTTGTAAGTTCTTCCTCTTATTTGTATTTGATTGAGAATTGAGATATATATAAACCTATTATGAATTTTCAAACAGATTTATATTACTTTTTTTATTTTTATTTAAATTTTTTTAAATAAAAGCAAATTTTTTAAAATTTGTTGTGTATGTTGTATGATTAGATCTATGGGAAAGATATAGGGAAGCATTGGATTTGGGATGGCTTTTCTTGAGAGTTGTTAGTAGTATTGAAGTATTTGTAAATCTAAATAAATCTATAATATTCTTTTGTAGATTTAATAGAACAAAAACACTTAAATTCTATTTTAAAATTCTTTTTATCTCTTAAAGATTGACTCAATTTTTATATCATGTTTGTTAATAGTGTATAATAAGAAAAAACATTATCAATCTTATGAATTGTCAATACACCAATTTTATATATCTCTTCTTTTCATCACACTTGTCGATGCACAACTTTAAGTATACTTTGATTTTCAATAAGTAAAAATTATAAAAGTTATTTATCATGATAATATTTGTTTTATTAATTTAGACAATTTTAATAAGATCCACATGACCATATTTTTCCTGTATAAATGCAAAATCAATAACCATTGGAGACTGTGTAAAATGCATGCAAGTGAGTAACATTTTAGTACTATTCTAAAGTGAAATCAAGATCTTGTCTTGGACCATGTAAAATGCATGCAAGTGAGTAACATTTTAGGCATTGGAGACCAGGTAAAAACTGATATATTATTGTAAACTTGTAATTAAGAATATATTATTGTGATATATTTTCCATATAGTTCTTATGATACTATTGGTAATAATATGTGTCTTAGTGATATTCTAAGATAGTTTTATAGTACTTTGATACTTCCTCTGCTTTACGCATAATATCTATAATTATATAAGGGTAAAAATTATAAAAAATAGGTATTGTGAAAGTATTTTACGAGACGAATCTAACAAGACCCTACATGGCTATATTTTACTTTACGTATAAATCATAATATGTGGTCAAACAAGCGTGATGAATAGTGTAAAAGTCCAATTGTTACAA